TTCTCGTAAGTGCTTTGAGAATGCCCGAGTTGTTTGATGAAATTGTTTTTAGTATAAGCATTGATATTCGATTGAACTAGCTCCACAATAACTTAGTGATGACTGATATTTAAAATCAACTGGACATTTATTACCTGTTTGCATGTAAGACTAAGTGCAATGATGTTGATACATTTTTTCTTATTAACTGAAGTTGCCAACTTTGAGATGCAGACTTCTGAAGTTGATTCCTCATTTATATCCAAGTGGTCCATGGATCAGAAGTTGAATCCAGATTTGACATCTGGTCAGACCATTGGGTCTAGTGGTGTATATGGTGTAGAACATCACAATTCCTTGGAGGCTTCTCAGCTACTTCCTGCGCAGCAAGATAAACACCCAATCCAGAATGAACTTCAATCACAGCTATCAGATGCAAATATTGGAGGCTCTCTAAATGCTGATTTAGATCACAATCTAAGCTTAGGGGTCAAAACCGATTATTCAGCTTTAAAACAACCTTTGTTAGATGGCGTCTTGAAAAGAGAAGGTTTGAAGAAGCTTGATAGCTTTGACCGGTGGATAAGCAAGGAACTTGGAGATGTAAGTGAGTCGCATATGCAATCCAATTCTAGTTCCTACTGGGATAATGTTGGAGATGAAGATGGAGTCGGTAATTCCACAATTGCTTCCCAAGTGCAGTTAGACACCTATGTGCTAAGTCCTTCACTCGCGCAGGATCAAATCTTTAGCATTATTGATTTCTCACCAAACTGGGCATTTTCTGGGTCAGAAATTAAGGTGAACATTTTATGTCTTTCCTGGACATTCTACCTTGTGAACCAGAGTTCTGATTAAACATTTTAATGTCTCACTCTTTTTCTATTGATGATGTACAACTTTACTCTAGATTAATTTGATGTCTTATTGATGTATGGGTAACAACTCTATGGTTTTTTCATTAACAGGTCCTCATCACTGGAAGGTTTTTGAAGTCCCAGCAAGAAGTGGAGAACTGTAGTTGGGCATGCATGTTTGGTGAGTTGGAAGTTCCCGCAGAAGTAATAGCTGATGGTGTTCTTCGCTGCCATACTCCGGTTCAAAAGGCTGGAAGAGTTCCATTCTACATAACATGCTCCAATAGGTTGGCATGTAGTGAGGTGAGAGAATTTGAATTTCGGGTCACTGAAGGCCAAGATGTTGTTGCAAATCCAAATAGTTGCAGCTCCAGTGAAAGTCTTCTTCATATGAGATTCGGAAAATTATTATCTCTGGAATCCTTTGTTTCCCAAACTTCTCCACCTATCAGTGAGGACAATGTTTCCTATATATCCAGTAAAATTAACTCATTGCTAAGAGACGATGACAATGAGTGGGAGGAAATGTTGCACCTTACTAATGAGAACAACTTTATGGCAGAGAAAGTAAAAGACCAGCTCCTACAAAAGCTTCTAAAAGAGAAGTTGCATGTTTGGCTCCTTCAAAAGGTTGCTGAGGGTGGGAAAGGCCCTAACATACTGGATGAAGGTGGTCAAGGAGTTCTACATTTTGCAGCTGCTCTTGGTTATGACTGGGCTGTACCACCTACTATAGCTGCAGGCGTAAGCGTCAATTTCCGAGATGTGAATGGATGGACTGCACTCCATTGGGCAGCATCATATGGAAGGTATTATGTTAGATTTTGCCTGTCTTTATCATGCAACATTTTTCGGATTCAATTTCTAATTTTATTTTTCATCTCTTTTTGTGGTGTCTTTCTCCAATTTAATTCACACAAGCATATTAGAAACTTGAAAGTAGTTGAATACTGGGTGCTCTTGGAATTTTAGTTGTGTTGTGAAGTATTTTTGATAAATAGGGTGTTGATGAAATGGCTTTCATCAACTATGACTTGTTTACTGATTAGCTCCATTTTTCTTTCTTTTCCTTTTCGCCCGTTTGATGTATTCTCGAAATTTGCAACATCAGAGAGCGGACAGTGGGTTTCCTTATCTCCTTAGGTGCAGCTACTGGAGCATTGACAGATCCTACTCCTAAACATCCTTCAGGCAGAACACCTGCTGATCTAGCTTCCAGCAATGGACATAAAGGAATTGCTGGTTACTTAGCAGAGTCTTCCTTGAGCTCCCACCTTTTTTCTCTTGAGTTGAAGGAAAAGAAGCAGGGTGAGAATGAACAAGCTTTTGGGGAAGCTGTTCAAACGGTTTCTGAAAGGACTGCTACACCAGCTTGGGATGGTGACTGGTCACATGGAGTCTCATTGAAGGATTCTCTTGCAGCTGTTCGTAATGCTACTCAAGCAGCTGCTCGTATTCATCAGGTCTTCAGGGTGCAGTCATTCCAGAGGAAGCAGCTAAAAGAATACGGTGGCAGTGAATTTGGACTATCAGATGAGCGTGCTCTCTCACTTCTCGCCATGAAGACAAATAGGGCTGGACAGCATGATGAGCCTCACGCTGCTGCTGTCCGTATACAAAATAAATTTCGCAGTTGGAAGGGAAGAAGAGATTTTCTTCTAATCCGCCAACGAATTATTAAAATTCAGGTATTGTATGTGCTTTTGGCCTTTTTTTTTTTTTTTTTGATAAAGTTAAAGTTATTTTTGGCCTTATGCATGCATAATCCATCTTTTTGCTAAATAATTAGTCAACTCAACCTTATTTTTTCAGTTTCTTAGCCATTCTTCATTTTCCCTTTTTTTTTTGTTTCTTAAAGGCTCATGTGAGAGGACACCAGGTAAGGAACAAATACAAAAACATAATATGGTCTGTGGGGATCTTAGAGAAGGTAATTTTGCGATGGAGGCGGAAAGGAAGTGGATTGCGTGGATTTAAACCAGAAGCACCTACTGAAGGAAGCAACATGCAAGATCAACCAGTGCAGGAGGATGACTATGATTTCTTAAAAGAAGGCAGAAAGCAAACTGAAGAAAGGTTGCAGAAGGCTCTGGAAAGGGTAAAGTCGATGGTTCAATACCCGGAGGCTAGGGACCAGTATAGGAGGCTGCTGAATGTTGTGTCCGACATGCAAGAACCCAATGTAAGCATTGTTCGATTTCTGATGCTAAATGAACTTATATATGTTGATCCTGTAAATGCATTTTATCATTTGGTGCAATGGTTCTTTATTCCAAAAATAATATAATAAATCATAATTTGGTGCTTTTGATAAAGAGACTAGCTATATATGTACAATCTTTTTTCCCCCTTCCCAGCTTGTCCTCTATTCTTAGAAGCTAGTTTTAGAGCTTTTCAGCAATAATGAAAATTTGCACTTTCTTCTTTTAAAACTATTTGGTCCATAATGCAGAAGTGAAAAATTCGTTCATACCTCATAAATAATGTATTTTGCTGATTTTTGTCTTAGCATCCAATCATAAGCAAAACTCAGTAACAATATTAAATCAACTAGTCCTGATTTTCATTATCTGCTCACCTTGAATGAGAGAAGCTTTAAATTTTCGTGGACTGTTGCTTCTTAAAACGACAAGCATGGTCATACCCTTGATGGGGTCATGGTTTTGTAGATGTTTCATGATTTCCCATCAACCAATTCTAATTTATCATCCAGCACCGTCAACCTTCACATGGGTTTACCTTTTAGAATTGGCGTTTCACTGGGTGAGTTTGATACACTTGTTCAGTACCTCAAGTTTCTTTCAGTGTAAAGTTTTGCTATTAGTAGTTGTATCTCTGGCTCTGTTTCTTGAACGTGGGGATTTTGAAAGGAACCACATAACAAGACACCATATTCACATGTGGTCATGTCTCATTTTGTGTTGCAGAGTACTGCAGCCAGCTACAACTCAGCGGAAGCAGTTGATTTCAATGATGATTTGATCGATCTTGGTGATTTATTGGATGATGATACTTTTATGCCTACAGCACCTTGAGTTCTGTGTTAATAATATACCATTTGTGGATTAGTATTTGTTATACATGGCTGTTAGAGTTGTTGTATACATAGGCTGCACTAACTAGTTTGTAAATGTGAAAATCAAAAATCCATTGTGCAGATTGACAAGAATTTGAGATTTAAAGGTAGTAAGATTATGGTATGTTTGATGTTTTCTTTTCGTTTTATATTGATAGTTTTGTAGCATTTACGGTATTTTCTTTTGAAGCTCAAACCAGGTCATCTCTGCCAAGGATTATTTTGGTTAAAAACTCTTTCAAGAGTCCTTTTCTTTTTCCTTTTTCTTTCTGCAAGAGCTTTTAAGAACACCTGGAATTTCACTAAAATGACTGGTTATTCAATCTTTATTTTTCGCAGAAATAGTCCTCTTCTAAAGCAGAGAGTCGAATGTCCCGGAGCCTCCGGGGCATTCCAACTCTTAATTTGCTTCTGTGTCTTCCAAGCTAGGTCCATTAGTATTGTTATTCTGTAAAGGATCGTCTGGTAGAGTGTATTAGAATAATGCATGCATTACTTTGTATATTAATAGTACCTTGTTTGGCATTGCACACTATTGTGAATTTTTAGGTATCTCTAATGCGAAGGGATTTAATATATGTATAATTAATACAGGCATTACTTAGCATTATTTTTGTACATCGTATCAAATTTTACTCTATCTATTTCCGTATCGCTCATGATATATATCTTTAACTCGGACATCCATTTCAAGTGCATATCCCCTTTTTGCACGGAAAGTATCAATTTAGGGCGTGCACATGAAGAAGGGTGAAAAGTGGTGTTTGCAACGAAAGTAAGCCAGTAAAAAAATCAAAGAGAAAATAAAAGAAAGGAAGACATTTTCCATAACATGTACAGACTACAGATACTTCTAATCAGCAAAGCTATAGAAGCTAACAATCATTTCGGGTGTGTTTGGTATGAAGGAAAAAGTTTTCTATGAAAAATGTTTTCCTAGAAAATGTTTTTCTGAAAAACAAGTAGATTTTGGACTTACTTTCTCATGTTTGGTTGGTGAGTAGAAAATATTTTTCGAAAATGATTTTTAGTGTTTAAATTATGAATGAAAAATGTTTTTGAGGAACATTTTTTATTTTTACTAGAGTAAAAAATAATTTATGAAATTGAAAATATATTTTTTTAAAATTTGATGTTTTTTTTAAAAAAAAATAAAATAATTTGAAATTGGAGAAGAGCTTTGAAAAATGTTCTTCTTAATTTTTGAAGGGAAGTCATTTTCCTTAATTTTGAGAAAAATGAGTTAATTTGAAAAACATTTTCCAAAACTTTTGCCCCAACCAAACATGAGAAAATTCGAAAATGTTTTCCTTCGTACCAAACACTCTCTTCATCTAGGTGAAAAAGCTCTGTACTAAAGGGAGAGCTCCAGAACTAGGAAACATTCTCTACAACTTCTCCTATATAACATGTATTATCACCTACCCTTGTTCAGAGAATCGTGAAACAGGACCACAAATTTCTCCCTATGGGTAAAATTGCATACAACTGTCAGGGTAAATGTCTCACCAGGAATGACCTTGAGGAACCCCAATCTCATGTTTATTCCACTTCCAAAACTATCTTCATAAATTCGTACACGAAATAGCTTATTGCAGCTGATGGTAAAACCTGAAAAATACAAATTTAAAAGAGGACATGCCAATACCGAGTTCCATATCTTATTAGTGAGTCAAATAACAGAACAAAGAGGCTTGTGCAATAAAAGAGGGTAAAGAAGCTAGGCCGCAAAGTTGTATGCACAGTGTTACCAGATGTAAAGAATCAGACAGATAGTAGACACACGTATTCTATGTTTCTCGGACTATTCAAATTACACTGTGTTGGATCCTCCAAATAGTGCATTTTAGAGGATTTGACATGGGTTTGTCCACATTTTTGGAGTCTGAGCAACAAATTTGATACAAACGACAACAGAGAATGGACATTAGAATCTAAAGGCAATTTTATAATAGCTCAATGTTTTTGTTGATATTCAAGAAATTCTCATGAACCAATGACACACGATTCAAAACTCTATGGATAATGAACCCCCCATCCCCTCTTCTCCATTCTCCACCAAAACACTAGACTTTTGTCTGTGGCAAGGTTTGAACTTGTGACACAGCCCAACTCACAAGTCACACGTTGTGCTCTTACCACTAAACCAAACCCACGGGCAAAAAAAATTAACATCTAAAGTGATACGAGTTCCAATTTTCCTAACTTCCCTCCTGGAAGAGAGCCTGACAGCCAGAACAACTGGTTACCAGGCAATCATGCAATTAGACCTTGAGGTATTGCAAGCCGACATAGTTTGTTGAAATCCCAATATAGTGAATGTACACTAGCATGGTAGTCGCTTGATAAATTTATCTAACTTTTAACAAATTTACCTACCTAGTTAACGGTACAATGAATCTGGATATATCATATCACAGGATGTGACCGATGTGTGTATGCTCATTTTCCACAACAGAAAAGTTGTACTTACAAATTAATCTTCAAGGGCTGTTACAGAGAGACAGTTCTGAGTTCTAAATGCCTTTCCTGTATGATGGGAACTACAGTAAAAAAAAATGCTTCGTTAACGTACCTGTAGTAAGCTGGGAGTCAATCCAGTATAGAGCGCAGGGATACCACCTTGCTCAACGATCTTCAGGGTAGTTGCTAGTGTACTCATCTTAGTGGCCCGGACCTGCAATTGAAGCTGTCTCCTCACAACTTCAAAAGGGTATGTAGCAGCTTCTGCACAAGCACCAGCAATCGCCCCATATACCAAAGTCCTAACTGTGCCCAACTCCAGTTGATCCAGGGCATTCAGGTCTTCACCTTGTTTCATATTTTCTAGTCTTTTCCTCCCTTCAGGTGAGTGCAAATAAGCTGATTTTAATATATCATAAACTCCATAGAAAACTGCACCTGAAGGTGCCATGCTGATGATAGAGGGTACTAGGCCCTTGTAAAGAGAGAAAAAACCCTCTGTCTGAATCATATGCCGGGATGTACCAATTAAGCCACCCAAGGCTTCTCCCCCAGGTGCAACCATTACTGTCCTAATCTGAAAGATTGACATTTTCCAGGAAGAAAGATGAGAAACATTTCATGATCATCAAGAAAATGGTAAAGCTTGAAATATTTTGTAAATATGAACAGGAAAAGCAAAACACTGCCCGAATCAGTAAGACAAACAAAAAAGTACACTACAGACTTGAAAAAAAGACTGGTAGAAGAATATTTACAGAAAATGAAATGACTGGATTATCCTATTCCTTAAGAATGTTGTACAGTAATTCAATCAATTGATTTAATATTTCTATCAGGAACTGAACCATATTTTGCACTTCACACAAATAACTATAAGAAAATGATTCAGCCAATCATGCATAGCATTGAAATTAGGTATCTAACTTCATTACTTACCATATCTCATCCAAATCAATGATGTATCTGAAGTTTCAGTGAGCATCAAAATCATATTTCTTAACTTCAATTGTCCCTGATGTCATCCCAAGTCAACTATCTAGAATAATTTCCTGAGCTTGGAAAATAGCATTTAATCTAGTTTTTTTTTCCTCCTAATATCATAGACATGACTTGTCTAACTAAATCAGTGCATCAAATTCAGAATGGTTGGGACAGCTCAGATGGTGGAGCAGGAAACCAATATTCGTCGTCTCAGCAGCTTAAACTACTAACATATCAACAAAAATAGAAGATTGTTATGTTAACAACAAGCTCAGGTAAGTTCCAAGCATAAAATATCGACAATATTCAACTCAAGAATAGGCTAACAATCAAAACCAATACGTGGCTCATTTCAACAGTCACACATATAACAAGCTATGTCTAGCAAAATTTTCCAGGGCTTGGAAAATAGCATTTAATCTAGTTATTTTTTCCCTTTTAATATCATATACATGACTCATCTAACTAAATGAGTGCATCAAATTCAGAATAGTTGGGACAGCTCAGCTGGTGGAGCAGGAACCCAATATCCCTTGTCTCAGCAGCTTAAACTACTATCATATCAACAATAATAGAAGATCGTTATGTTAACAACGAGCTCAAGTAAGTTCCAAGCATAAATTGTCAACAATTTTCAACTCAAGAATAGGCTACAATCAAAACCAATACGTGGTTCGTTTCAACATAGTCACACATATAACAAGCTACGTCTAGCAAAATTTTCTAGAATTACGATACAAGTAGCATGATCATGAAGAAAGTAAGAAAGGCCGAAAGGAGATAAAATTTGCATAATCTAAGCAGATGGTGCCGCTTGAAGAAATTAAGTGTCAACCTAAGCATTCCTGATAATGTTGTTTATCTTGGAAGTTCTAATGCTAAATTAAAGAGGGTTTATACAGTTAAAAGCAGTAGAACAATCAACCAAATTCTTGAATCTAAGCTATCCAAGAGCTAGTTGCACCCCTGGGGCATACATATAACAGGGACAGCGGAAGTAAGTTTTCTATGTAGTGTCAACTTGATAGCTTCCACTTATACCCGTCCATTCCCTTTACTAAGCATTACTATACAAAGATATGTAACCAACTTAGCCAAGAAGACATACTACTGCAAGGGATCAAGAAAACAGAACAGAAAACCCTGAAGTATCTATCACTCACAGTGTCCATAGGTATGCAGAGCACAGTAGCTGTAATTCCAGCAGCTGCACCAGCAACAAACCTTTCAATATTAGTTGCTTCCTCATTACCAGTTATTTTGAGCAGATGATCTCTGTATTTTTCATAAGAGTAGAAGTGGATAGCCTTAAATGGAGCTGTTCGTAGAATATTCACAAAATTCCCCTTCCAAAATCCCTTGATCCCTTGAGTAGCTGCAATTGTCTTGATGAGCTCAAAAAGATTCTTTTGTTCACCACGAACTATATATTCCAGCTTTAGTCTCTCCAGTGGGGCAACAAAAGTTCTGAAACAATGGCAGTTCAGATACTAATGCATAGACTAAGGTCATAAAATAAATGAAAAACGAAGAAATTGCAGATCACATATAAGGTTCCATTTCAATGCTACAAGAGTAACAAAGCTCCAACATAGAAATACTAGGATTTTTATATTGTGTATTAGTCAGTGGAAAAAACCAGAACTCACGAGCAGCATTTGATATGTTTAAAAGATAATTCTCATCCCAAAATACATAGAATTTGTTCTGGATCAAGCACGGACATGTAAAGATCCCTTTCCAACAGCGGGGAAGAACAACCATGCCTAACTAGAATCAGAAGATGCAGCCCTTGAATTCAACTTCTGTGATTGAATTCTACTTAGAAATAGGTGATAATCTTATTCTCCTTAATAGATTAATCACAGATGACACTTTTAATTTAAACCTTCCTAATATGGGGCACTTGGTGCTTCTAAGCAGGTTAGATTCTTACTTTCTGTATGAACCATTGACATACACAAAATGATTACCTCAAAGGAAAAAAAGAAAAGAAAAAAAGAGTAAAACTAGAAAAGAGAATAAGTATCCTTCTCTTGATGCAAAATAGACATGGCACTGGAGAAATCACCAGTATTAACCAAGGAAAAGGGTCCCACATATTCATGTATAACAAAGGGTTAGCCCATTATCAAATCAAATTTTGTTAGCCACTTCTCACACTGCTATTGTTTACCACTAGTTAATGCTCCTACACAAGGTAACATTGCCTCTCATACCAAATGTATAACCCAACAAGAAGAAATTCAACTAGTATTCATACCTATGCATAAACATTCCTCAACCATGTCACACAACTTCAAAATTTCAAAATCTGACATTTCATCTTAAATCAAGTGCCTTCATATCCTAAAAATATAAGAGCAAACTACTGAGTGTGTATTTCATGGTATAAATATTACTCCCTCTGTTTCAATTTATTTGTCTTAGTTTGACTTGGCATGGCATTTTAAGAAATTAAAAAGACCTTTCAATCTCGCAATCTTAAACATATGTATAATGTACAAAAATGTCTTTAATGTTCTAGTCTTAAACATGCCATGTGGCATGTTGAAATTAAAAAGTTTCCAAATTAGGAATGAGATTTTTTTTAGCAAACTAAAAAGGAAATTAAGAAAACCAAATTGAAACATAGGAAGTAGCTATCAGTCATTCCAACTCAAATGACACAAAATTGCCATCAGTTAAACAAAGCAAGTCGAAACCTATTGGTCCAAACTCCTAAGAATCCGGCCTTTCGTCTTGATTATGAATCAAGAAAGACGTGATCTAAAGGCGCACAATTTTGTGAATACTTAAAAATACATTTCTCTGTATAGAGGAGAATGGATGTATACAAAAGACTGACCCCCAATGAATTTGGGATTGAGGTCTAGTTGGTTGTTTAGTTGATCCTAGCTTTTTTTGAGCCTTGAAACTGTACCTTACCACAAAAAGACATTTAAAATTGTTCCATTGACAAATAAGAGCAACAGTTTTTTTGGGGAAATCAACTATTTCCAGTTTCGAAATTCAATTGATAAAGGGGCTTGTACTCCATGTGCCTCTACCCTTCTGCACTGACATACCATACTTGGTTCCCAAGCGAGGATTCTAACCCCGTGAATGTGGGCATACTGTACATCCAGCATGATATCTCCTTTGCCATAACCCTAGGGAGAAAAACAATACTACCCCTTCATTGCAATTTGTTTGACCACTCCCTTTTAAATCTACTTAGGAAAAGAATGACACATTCAATATTTAATAACTCTTTGCCCAATCAATTCCAATATATTTAACAACACAAAATTTAAATGACATTTTGGTATATTATACAAGTCATTACAAATCGAAACATAGGGAGTAAGATTTTATGGAATGCATAAGAATGAAAAAGAACAATCCTCTTTACCTTGATACCATGGCAGCAACAGCTCCAGACCAAAGATGCTTAGTAGTATTAAATGCACCTCCACCTCCACCATGCAGCTTCCCTTTCTCTACTTTTTCAACTTCCTTACACACATTAACTTCACTCTCCGCCACAGCAGCTTCCCCATTCTTTCCCAAAATCTCATTAGAATCTGAAAGTGTCACCGACAAAAACCGTCCCCTTCCTCTCCAGCTACTCCTCCGTGCACGTAACATACACTTGGAAGGAAAACAATTTTCCATGGAAATTAAAGAGACGAAGGATTCTCTAGCCGAATCCTCGAAGAGCGACCCTCCATTGTTACCATCAAAACCAATCGAATTCAAACACAAAACACTGCTTCTCAAACTCAAACACCCAACTCCATTTGATTTTGACTCTGATTGAATCAAACCCTTCAAACGAATCTCTAAATCACCCATTTTTTTTCAAAATAATATCAAAAATTCACCGATTAATGCTTCTTTTTTTGTATAGTAAACTGCAATTCGTCATCGACTTATGTAGAAGAAAATGGGATTTGAAAGAGAAGAGAAAATGAAATAAATATAAAGAACGGTTTGCTTCCATCACCGCGCGCATTTTCCTTCGCTCTCTTTCCATGCTGTGCGGTTTCCGTTTTTTTTTTTTTTTTTATCAATTTTGCGTCAAATATTATTCTTTTTTTTCAATTCGTTTAAAATTTTATGAATTTGATCAAAAAATTTCCTTTAGACAATAATATTTTGAAGTTATACTTACATAATTACAATACTATAAGATTCTGTTTTTTTTATAAAAAAATTGACGTATAATATGATATATCAATTCATAACATGATTATATATGTAATATAAATGAGTGAAAAATTAAAATATTTTGAACTTAAAAAAAAAACACGTAAAATATGAGAGAAAATCATGTGATCCCCTTGATCATGCACGAGTGTATCTTCAATTTAAAAATAAAACACTCAATTGAATTTTGTGAAAATCAAATTTTAATAACATGAAAAAGAATTTTTTTTAAAAATAGAGGAAATTTGTGTTTCACAATATATTGATATACAAAATTATTTGATTAATTCAAGCGAGCAGAAAATTTGAAAATCCTAATTACACGTATCAGAATTAATTTGATTACACTAATATTTTAATCCTTCATTTGCAATGTCTTTTATTCACGATGTCAAATATTACAAAAAGAGGAAGAGGAAAAAGAAAGAATTGTAACCGTTGTTTTAGCCGTATTTTTAAAAAAAAATTAAAATTGATTAAATCTTCTTTAAGATCAACAAAGTCTCAAGAGAGATTAAATGAATTAGTTATGTTATATCATTTGAAATTAAATTATTAAAATAGATTGATTATAAAATAGTAGTCAACAACTTTGCATCTATAATAGTTAGAGAATTAAAATAGATTTTTAAATAAAAGTATATATGATTAAAAAAAATTAAAAGCCCTCTTTTAAATTTCACTTTAAAACCTAATATTATTGAATCAGTCCTGCCTTTACTCTTGCTTTGTGCTTCCATAATATTTGTCTCCCTCTAAAAATGACTAAATATGAATATACATGATATTTTAAACACTTAAAAAGATTCCACTAAATCATAACAGTAAACGTGTAAAAAAATCTTAACTAAAAGGTGATAAATATAATTCAATATCACTAGTCCACACTTAATTAACCTTTGTTGTCATCAAAAATCTAATCAGACACTAAAAATATATCACCTACTTAAATACTCAAATAAAATAGAATTACTCCTATTTAGGTCATCAAAAATACTTTAAATATAACATAGTTTTATAGAGCGTATAAAAATAATGCTAAGTAGAGTGTATTAATAATATTATATTAAGTATTTATAATGTTTATATTAAATATACATAGATTATTTCTTATGAATTATTTGATTTGATCATGTATTAAAAATAAACATGCATTCCATCAAAAAAATTATTCACAAAAATATCCTTTACAATTTTGGTGAAAAAATGTAAAAGAAGATTTTAAAAAAATTTGAAGGGATATAAGGTCTTTGACTATGCTAATGGTCTTTGACTATGCTAATGCATGCATTAAAGCTCCTTGCATTACTGACACATAGAAATCCATGGTATTAGTAATACACGAGAGTGTATAACTAATGCAAGTATTAGTTGTACATAGCATGAAAAAAATACACCAAACAAGATATTACTAATATATAGAATTAATACATGCATTATTTTAATTAATACACTCTAGCAAACAACATAAACCAAAGAATCAACTCACAAACATAATATACCAGGCAAATACAATATAATCATGTTAGGCTTAAGTCATCGACGAACACTTAAAATTGTTCGCATAATTCACTTATACACTTCGACTATGGCTTGTGCCTATTGAACACCTAAATTATTCAAAATATGTGTCTATTAAACACAAAATACTGATGTGGCAAGTAACTGTATGTCACTGCTACCAAGCGCGTGAATAGATTGTGATTTTATTTTTTATTTATTTTTAGATAAGTTGGTGCCTATTTTTTAATAGGAAAAATTTCATATATGGCAAACTAAATTTATGAAATGACATTATATGGGTATAGTTTACATAATTACATTTTATAAGTATAGTATAGTTTGTTATGTAGCATTTCATTTTGTATAAAACGTTTTTTTTTTAAAATTGTACTATATTTTACTTTTTCATTAAATAGTAACAATAGCCCAAAATGTGGTAACAAACATAGCCAAAAAATATGGTAACAAACATTTACATAATCCCATAATTTAAGCTAAACATTTAAAATCAAATATTTTCTCAAAAAGAATTCTATTGCAACTAAAAATCCATACAAACTTGTTTCTGGGAAACTAAACTTTTTAATATATATAAAGTTTATATACGAATGTAAATAAATTGAATATAAATTGTTTAATTTGCACCAAATTGTAAAGTAATTATTATATGCATATACACAAAAATCTGTCAAACAGTTTTGTATATATTAATGTAAAATACAAAAAATATTGGGATTTAAAACAAATTATTATACAAATAATTGTACCATATTTTTTTTAAGTAATTACTTATATACATATATAACTAGTTCAATATAAAAAAAAACCGTATATATATATAAACAAAGTTATATACAAATGTAAATAAAATGAATATAGAAATATATAAAAAATTGTATATGTATAAATAAATTTATGTACGAATGTAAATAAATTGAATATAAACTGTTTGATTTGTATTAAATTAATTATTATATACATATATAAGTAAATATATATGTATAAATAAAAATATGAATATAGAACTTGTTTATACACAAATCCCTAAAGCAGTCTTGTATATAAAAACGTAAAATACAAAAAAAAAATAGTGATTTAAAATAAATTATTATACAAATATAATCAAGTAATACAATTTTAATCACCGAAATACAATTTGTAGTTTGAAAGAAAAAATAATAATTTTCATTTGAATGGTAAAGTGAGCACATAAAATGTAAAAAATATTTGTATACAATTAAAATGAAAACATAACAAAAGAAAGTTGATCTAATAGAATGAAAAAAGGATTTTTTTTTTAAATTGTTAATGATGCAAATTTTAAGTGATATATTCTTTCTCTAAAAACTATTATCTCACTTTTTCATCATACTACTTTTTTGTATTTATATATTATTATACAATATTCTAAATAAAAACTAGAATAAATAGAAATACGAATAAAATACATATTGAAATGAATATAAACTAATAAAAATAAGATAAAGATTATGGAGGAAAAAAAAAGTTTGAGTTTTATTTGAAAATGTAACTGATAGAAAATTAAGTGATCTTTACCTTTTTTTGAAATATTATCTCTATTAATTTTCTTCCTTTTGTTATTAAATAATTCTATTCTTTAAATAAAAATAAATAATAAAAACAAAAATAAGATACATAACAAATTAAAATTTTGACATTTTTACTAAATATTAAAAGTGTTGCTAATTACTCATTTTAAATGTTAAAATATTGACATTTTGAAAAATTTTCCTTAAATCAAAGGGTGGTTAGGTGGGGCAGCAGAAATTTTCTTTTTTAATCTTTTTCTGATTATTAAATGGAGGTTTGAAGGTATTTTTCATTTTTTTAAAAATAGAGACGTTAAATTTTATTGGTAGACTAAGTCCATGTGCCACGTATCGTAATTTTATTTGTGATTATTTTAAAAAAAATGCGCTTGAATTACACGCAGGACATATTTTTAAAAAGTTTTCATTTTATGTTTAATCGATACATATTCCTTAAAAAAAGGGGGAGCTTAAGAGAAAAGTTGAAAATGGAAAGCTACGTATATAATTGATGTAAACATAAAGGTTAGGGTAAACAAATATTTTGTCAAAAATTGGCTTAAGAAAGAAATGCTTAAATCATATCCTATGAATCAAAACTTTGTTTCACTTAAATCAAAATATTAGCTCTACAAAGTGGACCAATATCTAGCACGTCAACTATATATGCATGTTTACAATGCCTCAATTGAAGAAAAAGAAAGAAGATAAAATTAGGCTAAGGCATGCATATATCACTTCTCTAATAGAGATTCAAGTATATGCGGTGACATAACCTACACCGATCTAGTAGTATATCTCTTGACTTACTCCTTCAAGATATACACAACAATCCATAAACATGAGGTTGCACCAATTCTGCACGCCGTTTTGATTTCAAAATTAGAATGTTCTCTCCTTCCTGATATCTAAATATGTACAACTCAACCAATTTCAGATTTACTTAAGAACACCTTAATTCATTCTAACATATAAATATTTTCTTTTAAATAAGAAAATATATTTGAAGACTTAAAATATTTTATTTATCTCAATTAATATTTTTCTATCATCTCCTACCCAACACAAAGGAAGGTGCACCATTATTTACAGGTGAAGAAGTCTTTCACCCATCAATATTGGTTAGATATTAGATAAGGAGTAGCTAGCTAGGCAGTAAAGTGATAGATATATGTGATAGATATTACATAAAGTTAAAGTGTTGTACCGAACAAATTTATTAGCCCCCCACCAAACAAGAGTTGCGGAGTTAAAAGGATAAAAAAAATTGTCAAAAATTTAAAAGAGTATATTAATTTTTTTTTTAAATCAAAAAGGTAAAATCGCTCACGATGTAGCGATTTTGGCCGTCTGAAAAAAGCAAAATCACTGCAATAGCAGCGATTTCTTAAATTTGCTTTTTGAAAATAAAAATAAATAAATAAACAAATCGCTCCACATGTAGCGATTTCCAAAATTAAAAAAAATTATTTTTTTATAAGTCGCTGCTTCTGCAGCGACTTCCATTAAAAATTTTAATTTTTCTTTATTTTTTTAAAAAAATTGAATAATTTTTTTTTAAAAAAAAATCATTGGCAACGATTTTTAATTTATATATTTTTTAAAAAAATTTAATTAAATCGCTGCAAAAGAAATTAGCCAATTAAATTAAGTTTTCAAAAAAAATAAAAATTTAAGTGTAAAGCAAAAAAAAAAAAGAAGTTTAATGTCAGCAACTTATTAAAAAAATTATATTTACCTTTTGACTCCTAACTCCACCAAACAATCTATAAATTAGTAACTAATGCCCAGCTAG